CTATGGTGTCTGGGAAAGTCTATTTTCGTGAGAAGACACTTCCAGAAGGATGCCATAGAAGTAAGGATGAGACAATTTCCCTGTCCGCTTGGTGGCAATGGCCGGCAAACTGTAATCATTTTTATTTGTGCTTAACAGAGATTGGTCTTAGTTCTCCGTAAATTGTGTTAAGCGTTGCATGGACTAATGATCCGGATTTTTCTAAGTAGATTTGTATATGTTCCATCCAGTCGTCTTCCAGGACGAGCAGATAATGCCCAAGTTATAATTCTGCTTGTCTATTAGCGCGTACGTTACGCCCAACCAATACCTCATAAATAATGGATTATTCCGTTTTGACCACAAGGAAAGATGGAAAAGACATTTTCAGAGAAAGAAAGTAAGAAACGCCCTGCCAAAAGTCATAAATAATGAAGTATACTGTTTTGTTTGAGAGGAAAGACAGACAAAACAGATCAGAGACGCTGTTTGGTTTCACTAAAAAAGAAAGATGTTAAGAAATAGAAAATAGAGGCGATAAAGCAATAACGTGTTTAACGTCGACTTTCTTTTCTTTCTTTTTATGTGCGCCATGTTCTTTCAGGACGTAAGCGATCATGGCTCTCCACCACTTCTATCCCTTGCAGCTCTCAACAAGTCCCTTCTCTCTTCTACATCCCCAGACCACGTTCTATCATCCAATTGCTTAAGCCCGCTAGGTATGTGTTATACTGGAACACACTTATTATTATATAGTGGGAGAGTCTATTAACTATGGTTAATAGACTCTCCCACCTATAATAAGTAGGAGTAGTAGGAGTCGCCAGTCGCTCAGTAAATTGGTCAGTCAGTCGATGTCGGACGACTGTTAGTCGGATATTAAAGTATCAACCACCACAACTAGATTGCTGCGTCATTAACTATTATACCAAGTTCCTAACGTTTTGTACGTCGAACCTATTTTAGGACCGACTTAGTGAAATACAAGCCTCCCCTGTGAAACTACTCTATAATAGTATGTCACGTGTTGTTTTCCCTTGTCTCTCTTTCCCACTATTCGACCCGTGAGTATCAGATTCTCCAGGCCCACCTTCCTCATTACGTATCCTAGAAACTTCAGCTGCCCTTTTTTGATGTTAAGTATAAGCCTCCTCCTTGTTTGCATCCTTTCTAAGACCTTATCGTTGCTCACACGCTCAGTCCATGATATCCTTAGCATCTTTCTGTAGAACCACATCTCCGTCGCCTCGAGTATCTTATTCATCTTGAGGAAATCGTCCAACATTCGCTACCGTAAAGAAGAACAGATGTCACATAACAGCTCAGTATTCTTTTCTTTGTTACCAAAGAAATCCTGCCGGCTCGCAATACTCTGCCCAGCTTTTGGAATACGTCCTTGGCCATCCCAATACGTCTAGGGATCTCAGTGTCGCATTTACCGTCCTCTGTCAAAACACTTCCCAAATATTTAAACTATCCCAACGCTACAATTTTGATCCTAATCTTAATCTTCAAACTCGTCTCCTCAAAAAACGGAAACGATTTGGAAAAAGATTTTGTATCATTATTTATCATGTCAAACCCCAACTTTCAAATTGAGTGGAATGCCACGGTTCCAAAATCGACCTGTCTTAACCCTTTGACCCCTGGGTTAATGGGATTTAATATACGATTAGAATATGATGAAATTAGAATCTTTGTGGAAATTGTCCAACATTCACTAGCGATACGAAATGGATTGTTTACAACAATGTCGAGCGAAGGATGTCCCATTGAAAACGAGATGTGCCACTGTTAACCATCCCCCAAATCAGTCTCTGCCTCCGAAGAAGGCGTCTCTATGTATTTGGTGATATTTGAATGGAATTCTGTATTACGAACTCCTTTCAGAGAATCTTACTTTTGAATTCAGGTAAGTACCGTTCTGAGCTACTCTTAGAAACTCGCCATAATTTTTAATTTAACAACTTAATAAGTTCCTTGCGGGTACAAAATACTCTATTGCATCGTTAAATATTTAAACTTGACAAAAAATATTGCAACCTCAACCACAAGTATGAATGCAGATCATTATTTAAAGAAGTAAGAGGGTACAAATGATTTAGAGCTGGCAATGTTTTCTATTTCACTAAAGGAGGAAGTAGCGACGGAGAGTGAGAAGAAGTGACTAAGCATAAACTACAAGAAGACAGAATGCATGTTCAACAGTAAAAGGATGAGTCCGAAATGCGATTTACAGGTCGGGAACACTAGAATCAAGCAGACGCGGAAGTTTAGATATCTGGGAAGCGTTTTGAAAGAGGACGGTAAGTACGACACTGAGATCTGTAGGCGTATTGGGATGGCCAAGGACGTATTCCAAAAGCTGGGTAGAGTATTGCGATACTGGAGGATTTCTTTGGTAACAAAGAAAAGAATACTGAGCTGATACGCGGCATCTGTCCTGAGTTCTTAGAGAGGATACAAACAAGGTGGAAGCTTATACTTGACATAAGGAAGAGGCAGATGAAATATCTGGGACACGTAATGAGAAAGGAGGCCTGGAGAATCTGATACTCACAGGTCGAATAGAAGGAAAGAAAGACAAGGGAAAGCAACACATGACATACATAGCGGGCTTGATGACAACAGGTGGATGACAGAACGTGGTCTGGGGGGACGAAACATTGAGAGCTACAAGGGATAGGAGGATGTGGAGAGCCATGATCACCTACGTCCTGAAAGGTCACGGCACATAAAAAGAAAAAGATCAGTGAAAGCCTTATCGAACAGCTTTATGAAATTAATAATTTACTGAAGTTTTACAAGTTGTTTATGGACAGGATGCATAGCACAAGCACATTATTATTAAATGAAATAATATCTTCATTTAGTTTAAAGAGAAATAATACTGAGCAATTTAGCTAATAAAGGGTGTTCCAACAACTTGGAATGATTTTAAATGTGAATTAGGTTTAAGCGTCTAATGATTTTTTCTTTCTGATTTGGCGGACATTTGGGCGATATTATTTTTCTACATAATTGCCATGACTTAAATAACATGACCCAATAGAGAAATAAATAATTTTTCACCAACAACATTGATTTATTTACTGCTGACTTTGATCTGTCTTAATGAAACACCCTTATATAGGTATGTGTGTGTTTATCTATCTATCTATCTATCTATCTCTCTCTCTCTCTCTCTCTCTATATATATATATATATATATATATATATATATATATATATATATGTATATCAGGTGCATTATATATAGTCATTTTTGCTGCGTTTTGTCCTCTCTTCTTCCTTTCTTTTATTTTTCAGCCAATATATTCTCCGGCCTCCTGTTTTGTCTAACTTTATGATAAATAAAGGTGTCCCAATAACTTGGACCGATTTTAAATATGAATTAAGTTTAAGCGTCTAATGATTTTTTTCTTTTTCTTTCAGATTTAACAACTTAAGTCTTTGGCATTTTCAACCATGAAAAGATCAACAATCAAACAACATGTTAAAATTATCGAAGCCTATTACGAAAATGAACGTTCAAACCGAAATGCAATGAGAATTTCCCAAGTCGCATCATCTCTCGAGACAGTGAAGTCAATTGGCCACCACGACTGTGCGACTTGACGCCTTTAGATTTCTTCTTTTGGGGCCATCTCAAAAGTAAGGTCTATGCCAACAAGCCAACAACTAAAGGACGAGATAATAAGGCATATTGGTGAGATCGAGGAGCAACTGTGCAGAGACATCATCAAAAATGTTGACCATCGATTGGAGGCGTCCCACCAAAGACTTGGCGGATATTTAGGGGTTATTATTTTTCACACATAATTGCCATGACTTAAATAACATGACCCAATAGAGAAATAAATAAATTTTCACTAATAACACTGATTTCTTTATTACTGATTTTGATCCGTCTTAATGAAACACCCTTTATTACGATGTAATATGTTATACAGTGCAGTAGTGTGAGTGTCAATAAACATTGCAAATGTAAAACATTTTGTCTTATAATTTGTGCCCAGCACTATTATGGTGTTATATACACTTTTATTTATTTATTTTTGCTTTTATTAATTATGATCTAATTCATTGAGTAGTTTTTTTTAGTAATCTTTTACATTTTTACACGGTTTTTTCTTATCGAATACAATAAAAAAATTGTATATTTTGCTTGTGATGATTCATAATTAGAATTCTGGTTTGAATATATTTTCCATTCAAAGTGTCTAATACAAAAAATAAGCTGATTTGGATTTATTCTTGAAATAGTCAAATTTTGTCAGTTTGTAAGCAAAAACCCGTGGAAATTAGGTATTTCTATAATTTTTTTCAGACGATATTTAAAACTAAATGCTCAAGAATTGGTAAAACCTATGAATTTAATTTTTGGTGTCAAATCAAAACCCCAGCTTTCACACCGAATGTAATATTGATTTTCTAAAAAAGTGAAAAATCAGCCTGCCCTAATCCACATTCTAATCACATATTATATATCATATATTAAAATTCTAATTCTATTCCAGTTCATCTATTCTAATTCCTATTTCCTAACACTAATTCTGTCAAACTCGTATTTTCCAATTCTAATTCTCATATTCTATCATTCCGCATAAAAAAGAACATGTTAATGAATAAACCGCGAAGATCTTTTATTTTTCACTGGTCAAAAATCAGTGTTCGAGCCCAGCCAAAAGCCAAAATTTTGAGTTCTGATTTTTGCGGGGGCAGCATTTTCTTCATATTTTCATTTGTCCTTGTGACTTAACAGATACGCTAATCAAACACCGATAAGGTATTTGTACTGGAAACGTAGGTAAATACTAAGGCGAGTAAAAAAGCATAGCGGAAAGAGGAAAGGTTGGAGAATGAAAAGGCGCGAACCAGGTGTGGTCAGTTGAATGTGATAAAAATGAACGCAGAAGATATTCCGTTATTAACAGAAAATACAGCTTTATAACATCGACCAAGACAAGCTTAGGTGGGCGTATCCAGATGTTGGGATCTGGCTGTGTGCCAAAAGTGCTTCATTGAACGCGGCCAAATAACGAGAGAGGAATTAAGAGAAGTAGAAAGAAGCAGAGAGAGAAAGAGAAAGAGAAGTGAAAAGGAAGAAGAAGATAAAGAGAAATTAAATACTTAGGAAGGAATAGAAGAAAAGAAAGAAGGAGACGTGGAAAAGGTAGAGGGAAGAGCAGAAATAGAGAGAAAGAAAGAGTGGAGAGAAAAATGTGGAGAGAAGACAAGTAAAACAGAGGTGGAACGAAGAAGCGAAAAGAAAAAAGAAGAAGTAGAAGACGAGAAGTGGCGGGGAAGAAAATGTGGACAGAATGCAAGGAAAAGGAAGAACTCAAAGAAGAAGAGAAAGAAAGAAAGAAAGAAAGAAAGAAAGAATGAATGAAAGAAAAAGAAAGAAAGAGAAAAAGTGAAAGAAAGAAAGACAGTAAATGGGATGAAAAAAGGAAAAGAAAAAGAAAGATAAAAGTGGAATAAAATGAATAAAGACTGTAAATTGCATGAAAAATAGAAAGAAAGAAAGAAAGAAAGAAAGAAAAGGAAAAGGAAAACAAGAAAGTGAGTAAGCTGAATGGAAAAAATAGAAAGAATGAGAAAGAAAGGAGGAAAATAAAGAAAGTGAAAATAAAAAATGCGAGAAAGAAAGAAAGACAAATAAAGAAAGAAAAAGAAACAGAAAGAAAGAACTAGAAAAGTAAAAAAGAGTTAAAAAAGAAAGAAAGGAACAAAAAAGAAAGAAAAGGCTTATATAAAGGTTTCAGAAAATATTTCTAGTGAAATGACGTCACTACATGAATGGCTGATGCGAGCGATGATGTAAGAAAAAAAAAACCTACGATACTTCGTCTGGAAAAGGCGATCTAACTTCGATATTTTCAGATGCACTCATATGAATGACGGAAGACGTGGGCGGGAAGATTAAATTTCAGTGCACGCAGAGAAAAAGAAAGAGAGAGATAGAAGAGAAAGAGAGAGAAGGAAATGAGACGCCTTCGTGCCGCAGACGATTAAGTTTGCGAGTAAGGGTGAGGAGAACTGATGGCAGAGAAAATGGCTTCAAGGAGAAAAGATTAACGCTAGACAAGAGAGGATGTAACGGAGGGAAGGGGAGAGAGAGAGGAACAGATGAAGTGAAGTAAAGCGTTAAGTAAAGGAAGACAGAAAATTGCTCTGTAAAAAATATGACACTTCCTTTCACCTTTTCACCGACCGGACAATTAACCCCATGTTGCGTCACTGTTCCCGTTCGTGTCGGTGTGCGCAAAAACTGGGAAAGGCCCGCCACACGTTCACAAGGAAATCAAAAGTTGGTAATTAACGCAATGATGACTCAAATCCTATTTCCAATGTTTTTTTTTCTTTTTCTTCAGGGATACACTTACACTTCTAAGCGTGGGTAGGTAGGTGACACGTGAGTCATCTTCTGCTACTTCTGTCATGGTAGACTAAAGGATCAGCTTTTTCCTTCAATCACCGAGAACTCTCTCTCTCTCTCTCTCTCTCTCTCTCTCTCTCTCTCTCTCTCTCTCTCTCTCTCTCTCTCTCTCTTAGCTTCTGTACATTACGACGCGCGGCTGATAACGCTCTTTCTCTCGCTCTCTCTCTCTCTCTCTTAGCTCCTGTACATTACGACGCGCGGCTGGTAACTCTCTCTCTCTCTCTCTCTCTCTCTCTTAGCTTCTGTACATTACGACGCACGGCTGGTAACTCTCTCTCTCTCTCTCTTGGCTTCTGTACATTACGACGCGCGACTGGTAACACTCTCTCTCTCTCTCTCTCTCTCTCTCTCTCTCTCTTAGCTTCTGTACATTACGACGCGCGTCTGATAACTCTCTCTCTCCCTCTTTCTCTCCCTCTTTCTCTCTCTCTTAGCTTCTGTACATTACGACGCGCAGCTGGTAACTCTCTCTCTATCTCTCTCTCTTAGCTTCTGTACATTACGACGCGCGGCTGGTAACTCTCTTTCTCTCTCTCACTCTCTCTTAGCTTCTGTACATTACGACGCGCGGCTGGTAACTCTCCCCCCAACGGATAGAGCGCACTAAACAACAAACTACAATCCCAACTCTGACTGCGAACAAAAATCTCTAACGCCCTGTTGTTCTCAAAAGTATATTGCGAAAAGGTTTCGGATGGCGTTAATTTCATCTTCCCATCTCTATCGTGAACGTGCAACGGGCCTTTCCCAGTTTTTGTTCACGCAGACACGAACAGCATTAATGACACAACGTCAGATGATTTGGTCGACCGGTGAAGGGTCTCTTTATTTGCTTACAGAACATTCATTTTACCAATAACAAAAAACATTAATTTTAAAGCAACAATGACAAAGGACACTTTGAAACTTTATTTCAGAAACTTTTTCAGGTGAATTCAATTTAATAAAAAAATTGAAAAAGTTCAATGGAAGAAATGGAGCCGCTTTACTTTCTCTAAAATTAAATTAAATTAAAATTGTTTTTTGGCTGTCAAAGCAAATTGAATATCATTCCCATGATTCAGACGATTTTGATATTTCGATTTTATAAGTCGTTGAGAACAATATGGTGGCTTCCAAATGCACGATCACAAATGCTCTGACGGTCCGTCCTTTTTTTTATCGTTTCACCCCAAGTAATTTAATATGACGCAAACGCTCAGACGCAAACGGTTACTGCGTGTGAAAATACATGAAAAAAAAAACATTAAGGAGAGAAAACAATAACAGACCAGGAAGATAACGATTGACATTGAACTTAAATTTTTGAAGATCAAAGTTGACTGGGAAGTGAAACCCAAAAGCGAGAAGTGCAAGAGAAGAAACAGGTAAGCAACGTTACGGCGTTGGAAAGTGACTGAAGCCGAGATGCCAGGTGAGGACCAATAATATTGCAGAATCTTCTTTGGGTCTTATCAAGAATCTCTAAATACATAGCAGAAGAAACAGACCAGATGTGATAGTAATATTCAACGCATAAATGAATGGATATCCAGAGCCGGCTCAAGGTACTGGCAACTCGGGCAGTCGCCGAAGATGCCATCAAAGCCTAGAGCGCCATTATGCCGCCATGTTATGTGTTTGATATCTTCCAAAATTAAAACTCATAAAAATATGCTTGCGGTTGTCCATGGCTCAAGACATATTAAATTCTTTGGCTATTTTGTCAACAGAAAATGATTTTGTAAAGTAGAATGGTGTAGAAAGTGCCATGAAAAGATTTGCAGATCTAAAGGCTAGAAAAAAAATATTTTAGGTTGGATAATGAAGGTTTTTCTTTAGCTTGTATTAAGTTTTATATTGTCATGCCTCATGCAATACCCCCTCCCAATCCTACCTCAACCATACATAAAAAAAACATACCTACATACATTTTTGTATGTTATAAAAACTTATACACAAGCACACATTTAGGTTATTTAAAAAAACAAAACAAAGGAAAAGGAATCTTCCACACACGCTGAGATACAGTCACTGTTAATGTGTTTTATGCAATACAACAATATTAATATATTCATTTTCATCAAGTCATTTTTTTTCTTTTCTTTTTTTTTAAACTCTTTTTTTTTTAAACTCTTTTTTTTTTTGTCTATTAAGGTTGGGGTGGGTGGTTAATGTTCAAATATACTCATATTGCAAATCTCTAATATTTTTTTTATAAAATTAGTTAACATTCAGGCAATTTCAAGAGGAGGTGTATTCGTCTGCAGAGCAGGCCCAAGGTACTGACAACTCTGGCAGTTGCCCGAGGCGCCATCAAGGCTGAGGGCGCCATATCATCTGTTTAGGATCTTCCAAAATTAAAACTCATAAAAATATACTTGTGGTTGTCCATGACTCAAGACAGATTAAATTCTTTGGCTATTTTGTCAACAGAAAATGATTTTGTAAAGTAGGAAGGTGTAGAAAGTGCTATGAAAAGATTTGCAGATCTAAAGGCTAGAAAAAAAAATGTTTTAGGTTGGATAATGAAGGTTTTTCTTTAGCTTGTATTAAGTTTTATATTGTAATAAACACATTATTGTACATTTTCAGTTTTTCGCCTTGTGAAAATTTAAATAAAAATTATACTTGTAAGGGCGCTGAAGTTCAGCTTGCCCGGGTGCCAGTAAACCTAGGTCCGTTACTGTGGATATCAAAAATGATTTGCAAGTTTCCTTTGCCTTCAATTGGAATTTGAGTATCGTTATTTGAGTGGAACACTAGATAAAAGTCTTAACCTTTGACCTGGCCCGGGACATCACAGACGTCACATAAGAAAGCGTTTATCACGCAGTTTGCAGCCTTGCTATTAAGTTCAAGAAAGCATTTTGTATTTGACAAAATGCCGTGTCAAAACGTCTTCGGTTTCCTAAAATGTAATTTGATTTTGTTTTTCTAAAAATTCCCCAATTTGGAGAAGGCAGATGTCCTGTATTTTTAATTGAGTTCACTCCAAGCAAGTAAGTCACTAAGATGGGTGTGGAAGAATTAGAAAACAGAAACTTTACTAAGAATCGAGAACAAAAGAAGAGTAATCAGGAGGACATTGGATAGCGATTGACATTGCATTTACATTTTTGAATATTAAAAAAAACATGGAGTCGGAAGGGAATTCCGCAAGCGAGAAGTGCGAGAAAAGAAACTATTAGCACAAAACTTACAGAACTTATAAATAACATATAACAATTAAAAATAATTGTCGGACTTTGTCCACTTCGTAATATATGTATAAAATTTTAGGTTATTACATCGAAATCATGTCAAAATCGCTACACAATTGTAGTCGTGTTTATATGCGCATAAAACGCATCTCATCAGACGATTGTAAATTACTGGCGAGCGCATCGGAACACGACTGCAATTGTGACATGTTTTCGATGCAATATCCTAAAATAAAGAATATCGCTCTATTTTGTATTGAGCTCTCTTTTAAACGAACATTCGAATTGTATGTTATTCGTTCTCGTCTTACTGGATATATATATATATATATATATATATGGCGGTCAAGCAACTCAGTTCCTACGAACCGACAGCCAGACACCTGCACATATGATTTGATTAAAGTGATGAAGGTTTTGTGCAGAACCAACCACACTTTTTGAAGATCCCAATACAGAGACCTGGTGTACTACGTGACATAAGGTCCCCAAACGACCTTTCGCAGGTTTTGAATTCAAAGTTGTCCTTCTCTCCATCCAAGAGTATGAGCACGTAAGTTAAGTTAGTGGAATTCGAACTCGGCTCTCGGACTCCTCAATCCGAGCCGATATCCATCCCATTACTCCACCGTGTGTATATATATATATATATATATATATATATATATATATATATATATATATATATATATATATATATATATATCGTAAAATACATCTATTGGATGCTTTAGTGATGTTTCTAACCGAGTTTCATTAGGAGATCCGGGTCTTTCAACATCATACTCTCTCTCCATTGTGAGCCAGCCGATAATGATCGGGTATCGCCTTGTGTACCTTCCGTTAGCTACAATTATTCCCATTTTCCTGACTACACACCACGCGACTCCTCTTTATTGGCCAATCCCGAATGACTTCCGGTTCACCAGCAATGTGCGCTCTTCCATAAAAAAAGGAAGCAAAAGCAGCCACAGTTTCTATCTGGTAAGGAACATGGCGGCGTGCTTGGCTTGAAGTGGTAAGTACCGTTTTGATCCCCCTCTTTGAGATATATGCACATATATGCACACACACACACAGAAACGCGCTCAAGCATCATATTCTGCTTACACTTATTCCCATTTTCATTCATGTTAATCATCCGAAGAAAGAAAGAAAGAAAGAAAGAAAGAAAGAAAGAAAGAAGGAAAAAAATTCTTTTTCTCCTTCACACTTTTTCTTTTTCATCCTTGACCCTCCTCCTGTATGAGTTACACAAACGCACACACATATCAATATCGACACACACACACATACCAACATACCCATCTAAAGAAAAAAAATACTGTAACCCTGATAAGGGGGCAAACGGGTGCTAGATCTTAGCTGGAGATCGCCCGTAGTCCCCTAATCGAGACTATTGTCGGGTGTCGTTTTAGGTCATACCCAAGACCTACCCTACAAAAATATATATATATTGACCAATCACTTTCTCCTCGGTGTGACGTGTCTTCACTCTGTCTTTTCTACGGATATTTTCATGGAAACTGCTCTGACAAACTTTTTTCCTTGTTATCCCGAATACATGAATTTAAGGGTGGTACAAGATTGGCAACTAGGTCTCATTGTTTTAGTGTTGAAATAGCTAAATGCAATCGCCATTACTACTCCATCTCGCACTTCCTACCTCTTCCTACTCCTTTCCGCTTCGTTGCTTCGCTGATAATTACAAACTTCAAACACTTTAAATGTAATGCCAATCGTCATATTCTGTCTTCTTGAATCCCGTTCATCTTTTGTCTTTTCCTCAATCCTCCCTATTTTCAGTCTTCTTTTTCACTTTCACTCTTTGGGCTGAAATGATCAAAGTAATTAGAAAATATGAAAAATTAATAGCAATTTTATCGTTAGAACTTTGATTTGCATAATAAAATCTGACATAGTATATATATATATATATATATATATATATATATATATATATATATATATATATAAAATGATGTTCATCTTGTACAAGGCCCTCAAAGTAGAGGGTTACATAGTAAGAGTGGAAAATAATTTGTCACCTACGGGGACGCGGAGACACTTTTGAACCCTGTCGTGATAGGGAAGTGTAGATTTGGCAGCTTCTGTCCATAAATGGAAACAGTACTCCGTTTATGCCCTGATCTGGCTCTTGTAAAAGTAGAGGATAACAAGAGGAGTCAGATACTTACTGGGGCGGTACAGGGAACCGACCATTTTTCCAGCATCTTTAACAATTGTTATGGAGTCCTCCCCTTTTTCATATAAGTGGACTCGACCAAAGTGTTACTTGGACTGCTG